AAGTGCTACGACGATAGAAAACACATTGATTCAATGACAGCGATAAAGAAATCGATGCAATTTTGTTGTTGACGAGAAAATGATTTATTTTTACCTCCTACTAAAAGAAAACTGATTAATGTCCTGTGTGTAGCCTCGTCTATAATTGATGGCGTTGGGGGAAACATATCATGATCTCAGTTAGAAATGTGACATTTCATAATGTGTATCTTTTGCATGTTTCGGATGTTCCTTGTTGGTCACGATCTATGCCGTGTCTTAAATAGACTATGTTCCAAATGGAGGGTCATACTTTCAACTTCCAGCAATGCGCGAGAGTCAATGTCATAAACATTTCAAAAAGAAAGAAGGGAATCGTCTCTGTCGTCACTCAACTAAAGACTCAAGTCCAAAGAAAACATTCTCCATGCACCCCACTTGCCTGTCTCTGTCGTCACTCAACTAAAGACTCAAGTCCAAAGAAAACATTCTCCATGCACCCCACTTGCCTGTCTCTGTCGTCACTCAACTAAAGACTCAAGTCCAAAGAAAACATTCTCCATGCACCACACTTGCCTGTCTCTGTCGTCACTCAACTAAAGACTCAAGTCCAAAGAAAACATTCTCCATGCACCACACTTGTCTGTCTCTGTCGTCACTCAACTAAAGACTCAAGTCCAAAGAAAACATTCTCCATGCACCACACTTGCCTGTCTCTGTCGTCACTCAACTAAAGACTCAAGTCCAAAGAAAACATTCTCCATGCACCACACTAGTCTGTCTCTGTCGTCACTCAACTAAAGACTCAAGTCCAAAGAAAACATTCTCCATGCACCAAACTTGTCTGTCTTTAATGACGCTAAACTGGGAACTGTTTTCTTGATTTCAGAACAAATCCCAGTCTTTGTTTTGATCATGACTTTTGTGTTGCTATATAAAACGTAACAGGAAATAAACGAAACAAATGACTCTTTTTTTTTCGCGCGAAATTCCTTATTTTAAACAAGCATAGCCTAATATCTATCAGAAATAAACATTAGTGTATACGAACTAACCCAAACCTATCACAATAAGGCAAGGAATTGGGTATTATGGAGGCCTGGATTCGAACCCCAGACCATCGATACGGCAAGTCCCGAGCACAAAACCACACGATCATAATGAGCTATATGTCTTCATGAAATAGTCAAAATTATTAATACTTTTTTTTTCAGGGTTTGAGAGTTGGGAGGGGGAGTATACTCTATGGGTCACGGTCACTTTATCCTCGGTCACTTCATCCTCGGTTATTTCATCTCCTGGTCATTTCATCTCCTGGTCATTTCATCCTTGGTCACTTCATCCACGGTCACTTCATCCTCGGTCATTTCATCTCCTGGTCATTTCATGATCTGATCCAACAAAAAATAATCGCAAACTGTGTTTGTGCGTGTCTAAATCCATATGATAGTACGTCGGTAGAGATGAGGGTCCATTGATTCGTATTGCTGTCCATGGTTTGTCATTTCTTACCCAGTGTGTTGTATATTTCTTCCTTGGACGTGCTTCAGTGCCACAATTAATAACGAGGGATTAAAACACAACGTATAGAGGCGATAGAAATCTAGGTCTGGAGGAAGGTTTGAGTGCTGCGTTTATTAGAACACAAAATGGCGGCGTCCAAATTCAAGAACAAACGTTTGACAAAAAAAGAAACAAGGTGAAAGATGGCCGTCAGGAGGTAAGTTACGGACAAATCTCTCCCTTGAGTTCCACGACTTCCCACCACACCTTGGCCTTTGATCAATAGATCCTACAATATGTGCAAATACGGACATCCACTAGACACAGCTAAATACAAACCTCGCTGTACACTAGATCTACTTATTGACATCTTTTATATTATTTCTCAATTAGTAGGAAGAGAGGACCACTATAAACACTTTTATTAACATGTCAGAAGTATCAAAATGCATTTTAAATAAACATATTTATGTATTAGATCTAATGAGAGCTTAAAGGCAAAACCTTAACAACAATATTTACACAATGACTAAGAAAATATATTGAATTGTGGATGAAATGACCAGTCCCCATACTCTATACACTGAAGTGAAGTCAAAGAAAGTAATGTGTATTATACAACGTGGGTTTTATAAATGATGAAGTCAAATCGTCGCGTACCTCTATAAGTAATTTCTTATATCTGACAGTGACAGGGTTGATTACTTATTATGTTTGACTACTTATTATGTTTGACTATTCATTATGTTTGACTATTTTTCCAAGCAGTTTTTCCTTGACGCCCTGTTGAACTGGCCAACAAATGCTGGCCAGTGTTTGCTTGGGAAATGACAATTGGAGACATACTTTCATCATGTATTGATCTAGTGTTCCTTGTTTTACATGACCTATTTTTTACTTGCCAGATTGGCCACAACCCTGTCAATGTAAAAAGTGCTGGATTCCTCCTGGCGTCTTTGGTTGCCAATGACAACAGCGGCATCAAACTCTTGGATTTAACAGTGAGAAATTATGTCATTGTTGTGTCCCTTTGATTGTCAAACTCCAATACTAAAGAGCTTTTTATTTCAAGTATGAGAGCCATTTTGTTACTTAAAACATTTAAAGAAGACCTAAGCAAGGACAAACTTTGAATAAGTATCTTGTTACACGCGAGGATGGCAAAGTTCTTTACATTATTTCATTGCGAACTAACGACTAGACTTTATTTTCACACACAATTTGATGAAAAGAATATATTAGTTGATTATCAAGAATGTATCAGTTGAGTATCAAGAATGTATTCGTTGAGTAACTAAATTTAAAACAAACATTTACTGTAAGTAAAACTTGCTTGAACATTTAAGCCAACACGCCATATAGTTTGGTGACTTATTTAGTCTCGTGTAGTTTGGTGACTAATTTAGTCTCGTGTAGTTTGGTGACTAATTTAGTCTCGTGGAGTTTGGTGACTAATTTAGTCTCGTGGAGTTTGGTGACTAATTTAGTCTCGTGGAATTTGGTGACTAATTTAGTCTCGTGTAGTTTGGTGACTAATTTAGTCTCGTGGAGTTTGGTGACTAATTTAGTCTCGTGGAGTTTGGTTTGGTTCCCTGGTTGACAAAATATCTGCTGCTTGACAGAAGTTCGGCTTAAACATCAGTCAAAGCAAGACTAAGATACTTGTCCACATCACAAACATTGCACCTCAAGTAAGAATTAATGGCCAACCACTAGAAATTGTTGATCACTTTTGTTACCTTGGCTCCATCATATTCAACAACACTTTACTGGATAAAGACATTAACAACAGGATAGCCAGGGCAATGGACACTATGTCACGGTTGCAGAAAATTGTCTGGGACAACATATTGCTGACTAACAGTACTAAAGCCTTAGTCTACCGGACCTGTGTGTTGAGCACCTTGCTGTATAAAAGTGAAACATGGTCAACCTACTCATGGCAGGAAAAAAGATGAATGTCTTCCACCTCCAATGCCTAAGGCGGATCTTTAAAATAAGGTGGCAAGATAAGATAACCAATGAGGAAGTGCTACGAAGAGCAGGGTGCTAGGACATCCGCTCTGTTATCAGCAGCTGACGCCTTGGCTGGCTTGGCCACGTTCGTAGAATGCCAGTAGGTCGACTTCAACAAGACTTTCTGTATGTCGATCTAATAGAAGGCAGGAGAGACGCTGGTCGCCCACTTTTACGGTATACGGATGTATGCAAACGTGACATGAAGATCTTCAAAATCGACACTGGCAGCTGGGAAGAGGTAGCACTGGATAGATCCACATGGAGAGAGAGCATAAAGGAAGTGTCACGGATTGCAGATGTCATACACAACAGAAGCAGAAAAAAGGGTGAAAATGCAACGGCGCCTGGTGATTACATATGCCCAACCTGCGATCGCAGCTGTGTATCAAGGATTGATTTCTTTAGTCACACAAGAAGTTGCAAAGGGAAAAGATCGTCTCTTGAGACATAAAATGCCACAGAGTTTGGTGACTAATTTAGTCTCGTGTAGTTTGGTGACTAATTTAGTTTCGTGTAGTTTGGTGACTAGTTTAGTAGTTTGGTGACTTAGTCTCGTGTATAACAAGCTCTTATTAAATATTACTAATCTTATTTTTATTATTTTCTTTTTATCTCCTCAAGGACATTCCAATTACATCAGAGAGTTTTGAAGACGTCAAGTTATTAGAAGGTCGAGGTATCAAGGTCATACATGGGCGTGTCCACCAGAAAGAGACAGACTTCTATATAGAGCCCAGAGTATCAAAGAGTGAGCCCGGTGCTGGAGACGGCTCGGTCAGCGAGACCATGAACTCAGTCACTGGGTCACAGGAACCTGCTGCAGGTGACGTCTCAAGCTCAAGTGATCAAACTGACATCCAGGGTGACGAAAGCAAGATGTCACAGAATGTGACAGGTGAAAGTGTAATATCACATGACGGCGAAGTCACAGACTTGGAGATTCAAAACTCTGAAGTTTCTGAGGATGTACAAGAAAATTTGAGTCAAAGTCAAGAAAACTTAACGCTTGAACAAGAACATTTATCCAAAGATGAAGAAAGCCCACCCCAAAGCAATGAAAGTTCATTCCAAGGTCAAGAAAGCTCCTCACAAGGTCAGGAGAAGGATGCCAGGGATATTGAAACAGAAGTTATGGAAGGAGTTGAAGAAGTTGAAGATGACATGAAGTCTAGTCCAGAAGAATCGAATAGACCACAAGCTCCAGACATCAGAAAAACTCCAGACTTGGAAGAGCAAGCTGATGTAGAGAATGAGGAGCGAGAGAATGAAGACGAGGAGTTTTAACGAGAAAACAACAGAGCCACAAGAAGACATTTCTTGAGAAGCAACTGAAGACATTTCTTGAGAAGCAACTGAAGACATTTCTTGAGAAGCAACTGAAGACATTTCTTGAGAAGCAACTGAAGACATTTCTTGAGAAGCAACTGAAGACATTTCTTGAGAAGCAACTGAAGACATTTCTTGAGAAGCAACTGAAGACATTTCTTGAGAAGCAACTGAAGACATTTCTTGAGAAGCAACTGAAGACATTTCTTGAGAAGCAACTAAAGACATGTCATGAGAAGCAACTAAAGACATGTCATGAGAAGCAACTGAATTCTAGGTTTCATTTCCTTTAACTGCTCTCTGAAATATTTATTACAACTGTTGAGAAGCTTCATTTAAAAGGTTGAACAACATTGATGTCTGTTGTTTACGTTTAGTCAGCAACGTATGCCCGTGATATTATTGTCTGATGACTCTAAGACAGTGGTTCTATCTTAGGACGTAAACTAATTCATTCTACAGACTGCCGGACAGATGACCGAGAACAATTTGTGACATTTCCATTCAGTCCAAACTTTCCTGTGTAAAATGTTACAAACCATGTTTGTGTTGCAAATAAATGTCTTTGATGGAATATTGATGTCTTTGATGGAATATTAATGTCTTTGATTGAATATTGATGTCTTTGATTGAATATTGATGTCTTTGATGGAATATTGATGTCTTTGATGGAAAATTGATGCCTTTGATGGAATATTGATGTCTTTGATGGTATATTGATGTCTTGGAATATTGATGTCTTTGATGGTATATTGATGTCTTTGATGGAATATTGATGTCTTTGATGGAATATTGATGTCTTTGATGAAATAAATTGCTTGTCATTTAATAACTACAACCAAAGCATTAGACTGGAACTAAAACTATAACACCATTCTAGCATTCAACACAAATTCTATGTAACTTGCTTAGATCTTCCCGAGCTGTACGGCACATAATGCGGTAAGGTGCGGGAACAAATTTCTGTTTTGACATGATCTCGGTTTGTTATTTCAAGGATCCTTTTCAGTCATCACTGCTGAGCCTCTAACACTGAACAAAATACTATTCTATCAATGATTAAAATAAAATATTCTGTCATTGAACTCAATCAAATCTTGACCAAGTTCTCTAAATAAGGTTAAGTTCTGTAAGCTTTATCAACGCTCTTTTAGTTCCAAGCAGACTCTGTGAACAGAGGAAAAAATCATTTCTTGCACCCATCAAAAGCATGTTGACTTATGTAATAAATTGACCTCTTCCAAGAGAGAGACAGAGAGAGAAGGCTGTTGTATTATAATGAATATCGATTTCTAGCAGCTAGTTACAGATATCCTAAAGTTGTAAGCCGACATGCTTAATAAATTATAAATTTAAAATAACCTAAATTTCTAACCAAGATGCCCCCCCCTCAACTTTGATTTAATGCTATTAGATCTACTACAGATGACTTAATGACTTGAGCTTAAATTCTCCATTTAAAGACCATGACAGAAATCCTACCTTTGTACGTGATCTTTTCATATCATTTAAGTGGCGGCACCAACCTGTCCAATCAAAACTGAAGCGGCCACGACCCTATCCAATCAAAACTGTTGCGGCACCAATCTGTCAAATCAAAACTATTGCGGCCACGACCCTGTCCAATCAAAACTATTGCGGCCACGACCCTGTCCAATCAAAACTATTGCGGCCACGACCTGTCGTATCAAACTGTTGCGGCCACGACCTGTCCAATAAAACTGTTGCGGCACCAAGCTGACAAATAAAAACTGTTGCGGCACCAACATGACCAATCAAAACTGTTGAGGCACCGACCTGTCCAATCAAAACTGTTGCGGCACCAACCTGTCAAATCAAAACTATTGCAGCCACGACCCTGTCCAATCAAAACTATTGCGACCACGACCTGTCAAATCAAAACTGTTGCGGCCACGACCTGTCCAATCAAAACTGTTGCGGCACCAACCTGTCCAATCAAAACTGTTGCGGCCACGACCCTATCCAATCAAAAATGTTGCGCACCAACCTGTCCAATCAAAACTATTGCGGCACCACCTGTCCAATCAAAACTGTTACGGCACCAACCTGTCCAATCAAAACTATTGCGGCCACGACCCAATCCAATCAAAAATGTTGCGCACCAACCTGTCTAATCAAAACTGTTGCGGCACCAACCTGACCAATCAAAACTGTTGCGGCACCAACCTGTCAAATCAGAACTATTGCGGCCACGACCCTGTCCAAACAAAACTGTTGCGGCACCAACCTGTCCAATCAAAACTATTGCGGCACCAACCTGACCAATCAAAACTGTTGCGGCCACGACCCTATCCAATCAAAACTATTGCGGTCACGACCCTGTCCAATCAAAACTATTGCGGCCACGACCTGTCCAATCAAAACTTTTGCGGCCAGGACCCTGTCCAATCAAACCTATTGCGACCACGACCTGTAAAATCAAAACTGTTGCGCACCAACCTGTCCAATCAAAACTGTTGCGGCACCAACCTGTCCAATCAAAACTATTGCGGCCACGACCTGTCCAATCAAAACTGTTTCGGCCACTACCCTGTCTAATCAAAACTATTGCGACCACGACCTGTCCAATCAAAAATGTTGCGGCCACGACCTTTCCAATCAAAACTGTTGCGGCACCAACCTGTCAAATCAAAACTGTTGCGGCACAAACCTGTCAAATCAAAACTATTGCGGCCACGACCCTGTCCAAACAAAACTATTGCGGCCACGACCCTATCCAATCAAAACTATTGCGGCCACGACCCTGTCTAATCAAAACTATTGCGGCCACGACCTGTCCAATCAAAACTGTTTCGGCCACGACCCTGTCTAATCAAAACTATTACGACCACGACCTGTCCAATCAAAACTGTTGCGGCACCAACCTGTCCAATCAAAACTGTTGCGGCCACGACCCTGTCCAATCAAAACTATTGCGCCACGACCCTGTCCAATTAAAACTATTGCGACCACGACCTGTCCAATCAAAACTGTTGCGGCACCAACCTGTCAAATCAAAACTATTGCAGCCACGACCCTGTCCAATCAAAACTATTGCGACCACGACCTGTCAAATCAAAACTGTTGCGGCCACGACCTGTCCAATCAAAACTGTTGCGGCACCAACCTGTCCAATCAAAACTGTTGCGGCCACGACCCTATCCAATCAAAAATGTTGCGCACCAACCTGTCCAATCAAAACTATTGCGGCACCACCTGTCCAATCAAAACTGTTACGGCACCAACCTGTCCAATCAAAACTATTGCGGCCACGACCCAATCCAATCAAAAATGTTGCGCACCAACCTGTCTAATCAAAACTGTTGCGGCACCAACCTGACCAATCAAAACTGTTGCGGCACCAACCTGTCAAATCAGAACTATTGCGGCCACGACCCTGTCCAAACAAAACTGTTGCGGCACCAACCTGTCCAATCAAAACTATTGCGGCACCAACCTGACCAATCAAAACTGTTGCGGCCACGACCCTATCCAATCAAAACTATTGCGGTCACGACCCTGTCCAATCAAAACTATTGCGGCCACGACCTGTCCAATCAAAACTTTTGCGGCCAGGACCCTGTCCAATCAAACCTATTGCGACCACGACCTGTAAAATCAAAACTGTTGCGCACCAACCTGTCCAATCAAAACTGTTGCGGCACCAACCTGTCCAATCAAAACTATTGCGGCCACGACCTGTCCAATCAAAACTGTTTCGGCCACTACCCTGTCTAATCAAAACTATTGCGACCACGACCTGTCCAATCAAAAATGTTGCGGCCACGACCTTTCCAATCAAAACTGTTGCGGCACCAACCTGTCAAATCAAAACTGTTGCGGCACAAACCTGTCAAATCAAAACTATTGCGGCCACGACCCTGTCCAAACAAAACTATTGCGGCCACGACCCTATCCAATCAAAACTATTGCGGCCACGACCCTGTCTAATCAAAACTATTGCGGCCACGACCTGTCCAATCAAAACTGTTTCGGCCACGACCCTGTCTAATCAAAACTATTACGACCACGACCTGTCCAATCAAAACTGTTGCGGCACCAACCTGTCCAATCAAAACTGTTGCGGCCACGACCCTGTCCAATCAAAACTATTGCGCCACGACCCTGTCCAATTAAAACTATTGCGACCACGACCTGTCCAATCAAAACTGTTGCGCACCAACCTGTACAATGAAAACTGTTGCGCACCAACCTGTCCAATCAAAACTGTTGCGGCCACGACCCTGTTCAATCAAAACTATTGCGCCACGACCCTGTCCAGTCAAAACTGTTGCGGCCACGACGTGTCCAATCAAAACTGTTGCGGCACCAACCTGACCAATCAAAACTGTTGCGGCACCAACCTGTCCAATAAAAACTGTTGCGGCCACGACCCTATCCAATCAAAACTATTGCGGCCACGACCTGTCCAATCAAAACTGTTGCGGCACCAACCTGACCAATCAAAACTGTTGCGGCACTAACCTGACCAATCAAAACTGTTGAGGCACCGACCTGTCCAATCAAAACTGTTGCGGCCACGACCCTATCCAATCAAAAGTATTGCGGTTACGACCCTATCCAATCAAAACTTTTGCGGCACCAACCTGACCAATCAAAACTGTTGCGGCACCAACCTGACCAATCAAAACTGTTGCGGCCACGACCCTGTTCAATCAAAACTATTGCGCCACGACCCTGTCCAATCAAAACTGTTGCGGTCACGACGTGTCCAATCAAAACTGTTGCGGCACCAACCTGACCAATCAAAACTGTGGGAGAATCAAACTGTGTAAATAGGAATAAACTTGTGTGTTCTCAGACTCTTGGAGAGGCTATGAGGCACTACGCCACACAGCAGAGTTCCTTACCAGAGCAGAAAGGGAGACCTAGGTCTTGTCAACTTGTCACCAATCGGAGTTCATCTAAGACTCTTCGAGCTTTTTGAGATTTGTTCCAGCTCTAGAAACAATGTACTGGAGCTCATGTTCAGTTTGAGCAAGTAGGGTCTTATCATCAGTATAGGAAGCGCAGTGACGAACATCTCTTTAGTTTTGGTGGAGTCTCTGCCGACTCAGCATTGCCCCAAAGAAAGACCAAATACACAAGCCAGTTATACGCCATTTTCTATCAGGAAGTGATTAGATAGGTAACCATTGTGTTTAATTTGGTCTATTTGTCCCACATGAAGCTGCTTGAAAATGGATAGGAATCTTTGAGGCATCCGAGCTTGGACAGAATTTTCTATAAACCATCGCGACTAACTGTCAAAAGCTTTGATGGGGTCGATGAAGTCTGAAGAGTCTGAGATGAACTCCGATTGATGACAAGTCCGGGTTTTGATCCCTGCATTGTTCATGCTCTCCACGCAAAACGACAATCAAGTCCCGATGAATCTCTTCTAGCTTGGGAACCAGACTGACTGAGAGAGAGCACATTGCCTACCAGAGCTAAGAGATTGTTTTATCTACTTTCACTCTATAGGCAGGTCTATATATGTATATATAGAGAGATATATAGGTCTGTGCTTTAAAGAAATGCGCACCAAGCAGAGAAGCTTGTATCGGTGCATGCAGTGAATGG